AAAGTCGCGTTGTACGGTGTGTAGAAGCTAGCAGAAACTAGCAATAAAGAAGTGCATATATCTTCTACAGATATGCAACAAAATTAATGGGGGTTGGATATTCACTCTTTTGTTTAATGGGTGTGGCTCGGTAATTTAAATTATTCGGTAGGTAGATAGCGATTCATGTGGATTGTTGGGGAGGGACTGCTGTGTGTCTGATGTTATTCTTTTTTATTGATGTTAAAGAGTCGAGCTAGGAAATGATACAGAGACTGATGGAAGCTAGCTGGTGAGCTAGCAATGAGCTAGCAGTATACCACCGTCTATTTTTTCTTCGGGTGTGCAACAAAAGCATTGGGGGTTGGATATTCACTTTTAACAAAATGATTTTGGTAGGTTGGATAGCGTAGCAATGGTGATTCTCTTAGATTTTCAGGAGTTTTTGTTGCACATCTGACGCTTTTCTTTCTTATTCTGGATACAGATTCAAGCTAGCAATCAAATGAAACCCGATAGTGAGCTAGCATTGAGCTAGCATTGAGCTAGTATCATATCACCGTCTATTTTTTTTTCAGATATGCAACAAAAAGATCAAGACATCGGATATTCACTTCCTCGTCCAATAAAAATATCTCGGTAGATAGCACAGCACTGGGTAGTAATTCAATCGAGGGTTTGGATACTTTTGTTGCATATCTGATGCGAGTTAATTAAGCTAGTGTGAGAATGTCTGCTAGCAATTGTCGAGGAAGTACCTAGTGGTGATATATGTTGGCGCTAGTATTCTGCTAGCGATATAGTGGTAGCTATATATTTCTTAGATGTGCAACAGGAGGGTTGAGATGTGGGGTATTTGCTACTGCTGTTTCGGCTGGTAGATTTACGGGGAAGATGTGGTGTGGAAAAGTGAATATGGAGAGGATGATATGAAATGAAGGTGGTGAGATGAGATGAGATGAGATGAAAGAGAGAGTAAGATGACAGGTGAGAGGATGAAAGAATGGAATAAACTGGTACGTTTTGTTTTGTAAATTATAACATCACTTAGGGGATGAAGTTATGATTAATTGAGTAATTTATTATTCCTCCTTTATGTATTAATCTCTGGCTATCTATCGAGGATTGGGAAACAACGCATCCACGCACTCCATCCCATAAAAACACCTCTTGAATTCAAATTATCTACGCACTCTTCTCTTTAAGCAACTCCTCAATCTGCGCCTCAATAATGCCAATTGGATCCATACTATCCATTTCCTTTTTGATTTCCTCTACTTTCTTCTTGTACTTATCATCCGAAATTACTTTCTCCACCTCCCTTCTCAAAAACTCAGCATCGGGTCTCGCAGTCTTCAGATTCACACCAACACCAATCCATTCACATCTTGCGCAGTTTTCCGGTTTATCCTCCGTATCACCGCCCATCACCATCGGAACTCCATTACTCAAACCATGTTGAAATGCTCCATATCCTCCATTCGTAATAAATACATCACAATAGGGAAGGATATCATCGAAAGGAAGGAAATCCTCTACATAAGCATTTTTGGGTATCGTAACCGAGTTTGGTAATGAAGCACCTTTAACACCTAGTGCGGCAATGACAATAGTGTCTTCGTGATCTGCAAATGCTTTGATGGTGGGTATAATCAAATCTCCGTAATTGAGTGCCACAGTTCCTTGACTAACGAAAACAATCCGTTTCTTAGATGCGTTTGTAGTGACTTCCTCCCACCAGCTAGGATGCGTGGCATTAACCACATCTCTATGGCCTTTTGGTAAACCACCGGAGAAGACCATTGTCTTGGGCAGATCAGTCCGAGCATATTCTGCACTACGCGTGCAGAGTTGAATGACTCTATCAGGAAGAATATATGGCGCATCCAGGAAAAACAACCCTGGATTTTTTGCGCCACAGGCTTCGAACTGGTGGTGAAAAAGCTGGGTGATGTGAAGGAATGGTCCGTTTTGCATATGAGCATGCATGGCTAGATTACGCTCGCGTCCTTCAGGAGAACTATCTGGGAAAAGCCCTGATCCCATGGGTGGAACATCTGGACTTGATAGTACAATGGGTGTGATTCCCAAGGAGATAACTGCTGTGGGCTTAATGCCTGGTGCTCCCACCAATAGTGGGAAGACACCGGTGAAGATAATGTCCTGAATGATAATAATTGGTCTTCCTGGATCTTTATCCGTCATGAGCTTCAGAGCCGTCTGAACCGATTGGAATTGTGAGGGCATGGGATTAAGAAACATATGTTCCATATCGAAAAGCATTTGTGCTGGTCCCTGAAGAGTCTCTCGAACTGGCCATTTCTCCGCCATTCCGCTGGGAGAGTCGTTGAAATTTGAATAGCCTTCAAGAGGTACAAACGTGGCGCCGATCGCTTCAATCCCTGGACCGAATTGTGAACCGGTTAGGATGGTTACTTCGTAACCTTTGTCTATGAGAACTTTGGCTATGATTTTGCATGGTGCGTAATGACCCGACACGGGATTGCTGCACACAAGCAAGAGTGGCTTGATTGTTTCAGCCATATTTAGGAGAGGAAACGTAGACTGAGAAGTGGTATTTCAATATGTTGATGTCGCACAATGGTAAAGAAAAGAAAGTGAACAAAGGTTTGGCTAGTAAGATTATGATGTTGACTGAGGACCTTCCAAGCTATATAGAAGCCGCTCGGTTTGGGTCCATAACCAGCTCGTATAATAACGAATGCACGTTGCTCAATATTACTGTGTGATCGACGTTATATCATGCAGATTACAGATTCCAATCCATGGCGCCTCATGCAAGAGCCGCTTATCTATCCCAACCGTCAGATTATTGAATGGATTCATTCTCAACCACAAGCATATTGGCTATTACCACTCACCTGCATGAGTTGTAGCAGGTTTCGGGGTTCTTGATAAGATTCTTATTGTGAGAGCCAACAATCTACTTAGTTGTTGGGCGATGAAACATGCACAAATACTGGGTACAGCGAATGAAAGTGGCAGTGATTCTCATTGTCGCCAAGTCATTTGCCCAATAACAATGTTAAATCGTCGTTGATTTTGCTTGATATGAACGGTGTGGCCAAAGCTTCTATCACCCCATCGCTACCACGCCGCAATCATTTGGCCTGCCCTGTGTCAGATTTTAGACTTACCGCGCCGCACTCAGATTTCATAACTTGACCCACTAGATTTGTCAGAATGGTAAGGCTGTGAGAAAGTAAGCATCTGTTCTGAGAACCACTACATGCATAGAAGGATTTGTTGTCTGCAATTGATCATCATCGCATGGTGGCTAAATGGGCAGGTCCGAAAGAGACACCAACTTGTAGCTCGCGAGGCTCTATCTATGTAGTGTAACAAGAAATCTCCACTGAGATTATCCCACTATACAGTTCGATACAATGCTATCCACTATATTCCTGATATCACCAATAGGAAGAGCAACCGCCGAGCGCGACGAGCATGGGGTGTGATGTATCATCAGATTGCCGAATTGACCTTGCTCTCCTAGCTGGGGCTCTGGAAGAAAGTAAACCGAGTATACAGATTCCATGACAAACGTCGATCATTTCCAAAATGTTAGGATGAATTTTGAGATGGCATTGAATAGCCCGAATCCTATGCAGAAATCCCTATCACTCGTGCGAGGCTTTCAGTATTGCATCATGAAGGGCTCAGAGTTGCTGATCTCTGAAGTCATGATGATGCTAGGGTACTGATGGCGAGACAAATATATTATTTGACTAGGAGTTGTTTGACAATAATGAAGTAGGAGGTGAAGGGATACGAAAGCATGTAGGATATGGTAGGGTTTGCTAGACACTCCAAGACAAGAATTGACCTACAGGAACGAGGAATATCTTCTTTGAGAATGGATCAGAAATAAACAGTTTAGGTGGAATGGCGTCTTGGATGATGAGTAGACGCTCAAATTTTGCCTGCAAGAGAATATTCGGACTCTTGTGGGCGTGAGCTGAGGAGGTTGAAGAATCTTTCAGGAAGAGTTGTCTATACCGGATTCTGTGAAATGGGAGTATTGGAGGTGTACCAAGCAGAGAACCTACGAATACAAAGTATCATAGTTGCTGAGTGCGTATCATCATGTACAGCTGTCGGAAAATCAGGCTAAGGAATCCTCTTCCTGGGAGCAAATTAGAAGAATATCTATTTCTCGGGCATGTCAGGATATGACACTTTGCAGGGAAGAAGTAGATGTCTATCGAGAGCTGTGGACTGTGTGTTGAGGATATCAGATACTTTCCACGCTCTCAGGATTACTTGATTCAACCGAGGGAGTGATGATCTAGTATACTTCGCCACATGCTAGAGACAATTGCTCGAAAAGAGATAAGTAGGGGGACATTTGGACAGTAGCGCGATGAACAGTAAACAAACTGGGAATGAAGAGATCCACAGTCAAAGGAAAGATGGCAAGTTATAGGGTGCATAAAGTATTCCTATTGATACATACCGCCGTCCACGAATCTTCAGGTATATAATCTGAATCCAAAACATAACGAGGTGGCTCAGTGGATGACGTCGAACATCTAAGTACACTGAAAACTCCTATCTAAGTCACTAATAGCGATGACATGACTCATAGGGACATTACAACTGGAATTCACAAAAAGAGTCAATGACTTGATGATTCACTAGCACACCAAACGTATGGTTCTGCGGACTTTAAGCCTCCAGCCTCCACATCACTGAAGTCATTAGGAGAAGGATGACTCAAAGCAGATTTAAGTGATGAAGTCATACTAACCACCACTGGCTAGAAGACACAAGTTCCATTGGGTATTGACATCTACTATAGATACATACATAACCCATCATCAGTATCCCGGCCTTCTCAAGCAAAAAGGCCCCAAAAGATCCCAAAATCATCACATACAGAGGGTATGGTACAGTGTAACAATATAGCACCAGCCATAGCATCTTAGATACCACTCATATCATAAAGTCAAATAACACATTATAGAAGCCAAACCAAGCCAAAGGATAAAAACATGCTATCATATCCAACCATTCATTTCATTATCGACTTCCTGCCTCAAAGCCGCATATCTACTTCCATCCCACCTTTTTTTTCCCCAACCTCCACTCCTCAATTTCTCAATTCTTGCTCGGATGTCCTGTCGTTCCATTTCTGCTCTATCCTCATTACTGAGACCATCTGGAGAATTGAATAATGAAGGGGCAAATGAGGGTTGATTACTGCGTCGAGATTTGCGTACGTTTTGCATGTTATCGATGAGATTGTTGATATGTGTGATGTGGTAGGTAATTTGTGTTGTTAGTGATGAGAGGTTGAGATTATAGCTTGTGATAAGCGTGTTGTGAGAGGGGTAGTCCGGGGATGGTGATTGGTACTTGGAGGAGATGATAGGTCGAGAAGGAGTGAATGGAGATGGAATGGCGCGTGAAATGGTTTCGATCAAGCTTGAATCGTTGTCAGGGCTTTGTTCAGATATAAGTGTGGGCAATGCTGGAGAGAAAGAAACTTTCTTTTTTATGCGAAGTGGTGCTGGCTTATGTGGAGTTGTGGTAGTGTCTGTTGATTGTGTAGATTGTATCGATGCCATCGATGATCCGGAGAATGTACGGCTGTGTCTGGGGGTCTTGTTATCGTCACAACTCTCAAAAGAGTAGGACGAGAAAGCAGGTGAGAGTCTATCGATGGTAGAAGGGAATGATGTTGAAGAAAATACAGAGTCCACGGAAGAACGAGCACTAGATGTGGATGATATCGAAGATGACCGATTGCTTCGCGACAAGTCATTGTTTTGAATAGGAATGTCTGCGTATGTGATATATTCCTCTGCTTTCCGGAAGTATGACAAAGAATCTCGGAGAAGTAGAAGCTTTTCGGGAGAGTTGTTGGTAAGGTTCGATGCTGTTATTTCCAAACAGGTGGCACAATAAAAGGATAAGAAGAGTGAGTGAAGAGGATGAACACGATACTGTGACTTTATGTTAGTATGATGATTGCATAGCGCACTCACGACTTGACTTACTGGGTCTGTAATGCTATTGAGAACCTTTGTACATTGCGCAGCACACTGTTCGTATTGTCTTGTCGAATACAGCTTCTTGACTTCATCCATAATGACCTTCCAATCTCCCAAGGTATAAGGGAACACCAGTCTGCTCCAAATTGATCTTATCGATCTCGGCCTTTGCTTCTTAGTTGTAGACTTAATTGATGAAGACGTTGGTGTTGTGAAAGGAGTTGGGGTTGTAGAATTCCCTTCCACTGGCTGTAATTTAAGATGGATCATCTCTCCCATGCTTTTCAGAATTACTTGAGTGAAGATGACTATGCCGTAGTTGTTACTAAGACAATATATCTTTCCAATGTCTTGCCCCCGTTTGGAGAGACGATATCGATTTCGGACGGTAAACACTTGGTACCCGTGCTGCAAGCTCCCGTATCATAACCCAGAACGTCGGTGGCCACTGGGATGTTGCAGGTCGATGCGCTCAGTATCAACCCAGATATTTAGGTGGGTAATGATATGAGTAGATAGAGTATTTAGAAGATTCTAAATTGATGTGGTTCTATCTTGGGTAATTTAATCGATACTTAGGTATTCGGCGTGGTTTGTTTATATCAGAAATATTGGATAAGAATTAACACATTAGACACGAGAAATCAACAGAATACAGAACAAAATGGTATCATAGTACAAATGAGATGCGAAAGAAGCAAAGAATGAAATAAGACTTTAGATGCCTAGTCTTTAGTCTTATTAATATGATATTAGAGGATAGAAGTAAGTAACCTTTGTACCCAAGACCTTGCGGGTGACTGTTTTTTCACCTCACCACCGACTACTTATTACTACTACTACTAATGGGTACTCACCACTCACAATCACTACTCACAGCCTTCACTTGTTCGACCATCAAGTATCATCATACTCTTAGTCTAGATCTGAGAGGCTTTCCCCACGTGTGATAGGATGATTTGGAAGAAAGATAGGTTCGTCAAAATATATTAGGAATGATCCACCACATTGGACGTCTGTGAGTGAGTGAGGTGTGGTTGAAAATTCGTTTCGAAACCAAACGCACTGATATATTTACAACATGTTGTGGCCCTTGTGCTTCACCCCTGAATAGCACAGACTTTCCTTACGAAAAGTCATCGGACTAGCCTGCGCCATTTTCCTTTATTTTTGATTACAAGGCTGGTTGTAAACTATAGAAAGGTGTGATCTGATATACTTTCATCCAATACTTTTTGTTCTGGCTCGATCTCAATCTATTAGCCAGTATTTTCATCCATAGACACTCCGCTCTTGAAATTTCAAACACCGACGTCGTTTCGTAATATATCCGAACAACCATCTAATATCTCATGTCACTAGGGAACTGCCGTTAAATCTTACGGATCTTGAAAGATCATGGTCATAGATGCCTCGAATCATCCCAATGGATATCAGAATGGATATATTAGATGAAATCATGATCTCATGAATAAGTCATTAGTGCATTGTGTCTCACACACCCTATGCTTTTGCGCTGCAAATATGTACATGTAAATTGTTGCAAAGAATTTTTAATTTTTCTTTAAGAAGCAGGAACCGCTCCTATAGCTTCTTGAGACAACGGACTTTCTTCTGCAGGCTTCTCAGTCTCTGAGGCAGGCTCGACACCCTCTGTTGATGGTGCAGACTCTGTAGGATTCGTTGCCGATGCCTCAGAGGTAGGTGCTTCTGCAGGGACTGCCTCAATCTTAGCTTTATCATCTTTAATGCCTCCAACAACCCTCAGACCATCAGCTTTTCGTGTCATGTTATCGATGTCAGCCTTTCTTTTCAATCGTTGCTTGACTTCGGAGACTAGTGCGTCAAGATTGACCATAACACCGTCCTTCTCCGGGTGGCCATCCCTTAGACCATTCTCCTTAATCTTAACTTTTCCTTGAGCAATTTCATCCTCGCCTAGGATGACGCTGAAAGGTACACCATTTACTTCGGCAGCCTTAAATTGATTTGGCAATTTTGGTTTGACTTTGTATAGGAACTCCGCCTAGGGAACCTGTTAGTATACGCAAGGTTCTTAAGAAACTTAAGAGAAATTTTGACTTACCTTGATACCAGCCTCCCAAAGAGTGGAGCAAATTGACATTCGTTCTTTCAGGAGCCCTGTGAAACCCTTTCCTCCAAATGCCATGACGAAGCAGTCTACGTCGTTGTTACGCACTTGCTCTGCCGTTTGCTCTTCCTCCATTCTAGCTTTAGTTATAGAGAAAATTCTATCTACACCGAACGAAATACCAACGCAAGGGATTTGCTTTCCTTTTCCGGCAAACATACCAACAAGATTATCGTAACGTCCACCAGCTGCGACACTTCCAACACCGACGCTAGGATCTGATGAGCGATCCTCATCAGCATCGGCCACTTTCTTAGGTTTCTTTGAAGATTTTGGCGGGGCAGCAGTGGCAGCAGACGTGCTGACAAGAGGTGCAGACCCTTCTGTAACAACCTCATAAATGATTCCTGTGTAATAATCAAGTCCTCTCGCTAAGCTCAAATCGAATGAAACATTCTCTAAACATTTGAATGCCTCGAGATAACCGAAAAGGAGATCCATATCTTCCAAGCCAGCCTTCATAGAAGCGTTGGCCATTAACTTCTCATCAGCTTGTAATTTGCTGAGGAGGTCTTTCTGGCCTTTCTGTACGACATACTCTCCAATTCTGTCTGCAACATCTTCTGCCAAACCTTTTTCTTCTGTCATCTCCTTGCGCACATCTTCCCATGGTAGTTTATCGAGCTTATCAACTGCCGAGGATATTGTGCGAATCTTGTCCTCTGGAACTCCACAAACTTCGAAGATTCCATCTAATATTTTTCTGTGGTTGAGTTTGATAGTATATCGTCCCTTCCAGCCAAGACCCTCGAATACTTCAGTTGCAACTCTGATAATCTCAGCATCAGGCAACATAGGATCATAGACACCAGCGATATCAAAATCGCATTGGTAGAATTCTCTCATGCGGCCTTTGGTCATTGCTGGCTGATCTCGTCTGTAGACTTTGGCAATGTGATATCTCTTGATACTTTGAACGCTTCCATTCATGGCCAACCATCTTGCGAATGGTACTGTTAGATCATATCTGAGTGAGCAGATCTCACCACCTTGGTCAGCCAAGTCGTAGATGAGTTTGCTGTCTTCGCCATATTTTCCTGCGAGAATGTCCTTTAACTCGAAAACTGGGGTATCAATAGTGACTGCTCCATGGCGCTTGAAGGCTTCTGTGATAGTCGAAAAGATTTTGTCCCGAATGACCATATCCTTCCCTTGCCCTATTGAAATGAGTATCATGTCACATGTTGGTGATGATTAGAGATAGGGACGGGATTGTGAATAGCAATGTGACAGAGATATATGGGGTTACCTACAATCCTTCGTCCCCTTGGGAGTCTTTAACTCAAACTTTGGTCCTTTAGCCATGTTTAATTCTTCGTAGTATTGCTTTCTTTCTGCTTTTGAGAGAGCGGGGGTTGCTGGGGCCCAAGCCGAACGCGAATTGGGAATCCTTAAAAGCTGTGGAAGTTGTGGAAGTCGTGAAAGTCGTGACGATCTCGCAGATCTAAGTAATTGAGTTTGAACGACCTTCATTCACTTTCTCACATCTATATGGAGTTCTGATAAGGTTGGGAGGGTCAATTTCTTTGATTCTGAGTCATCTGGGGTGCCTCGAATTTTTTGTTTTATGCACAATGGCGAGGCTGAGTACGGTAACTGTAGTGGCATGGAATTCGCTTGCAGTTTGTTGGTGCGGGGAGTTGCCTCATTCGATCGGTGAAATCTGGTAGAAAGTTCCGATGAAGCTTGGAACTAATAAATGATGGAACCTTGAAAGCTTTCAAGTTTGTTTGTCTGGACGTACGGGAACCTTAGGAGACCGATACAGCTACAGCTTGCTTATCCTGCACTTTCCTTCCCTCTCATTTTCATCAAATACGTGATCATTCAGCCCGCATGTAGAGCTAATCATGGCTCCTCATGCTGGGTTTGATACGGATCAGATTAAAGATAAAGCGAGGAAGGATTTATTATACTTATTAGAGGGTGTAAGTAAGGCCTCACCGTCTCCCAAGCTGCTCGAGGTTGCAGCTGACATGTTAATCCTCGCAGGTTCGTGGAAAGAAGAATCTCGTACTTGAACAGAGTTTGGCTGGTCCACTTGGTGTAATCGTCAAGTTTTCGACTCTTCAAGATTACGGTGTCGATAAGGTCTTCTTTTTAGAGAATGGCAATGCAGATGTTAGCCAGCAGAATGTCGTGTTCATCGCTAGGGGAGAGAGTGCAAAACATGCTCAATCAATAGCTGGTAAGTACTCGGTCAATCTTGTCACCCTTCATTCTTTTCTTATACCTTTGATGGGATCTCAAAAGTAGACCTTCTAGCTGTATCTCTCCAACTCTATTCGGTCAGTCTTGATCCCTATATGAATAATTATCATATATTTGAGCAACACGATCATAAGCATATATTCGATTTCAATTTCTGTTTGATGCTATCAGAACGTGCTGACAGTCTCAGATCATATCAAGCGCATGCAGCGAGAAAGCCAGACAGGACATGAATTTTCCATATTTTGGGTCCCGCGAAGAACATTGGTATCAGAAAAGATTCTTGAAGAGGCCGGCGTACTGGGTGATACTAGTATCGCCGAATTTCCTCTCTATTTTCTTCCGCTCGAAAAGGACCTCTTGTCATTAGAATTGGACGAATCATTCGAAGATTTATATCTTCGAAAAGACCCAACGCCGACATTTCTCCTAGCACGTGCTTTGATGCTCATACAACAAAAACATGGCCTATTCCCTAGAATGACAGGGCAGGGTGATAATGCGAAAAGACTTGTCGATCTCCTCTTACGAATGCGACAAGAATTGATCGCGGGCGAAGATTCCAATGAAAGCAATAAACTTGGACTCTCCCCAAGTAACACTGTCGAGAGCCTCATTGTTATCGATCGCGAAATTGATTACGCGACCCCTTTACTGACGCAATTGACATACGAGGGGTTGATTGACGAAGCGGTAGGTATTCAACATAATCAAGTCGATGTGGATTCATCTATTGTGGGGTCCGCTCCTCAAGCCCCTCAAGGGTCCTCGAAAACAGTCGGAGCAGCACCTGTACAAGCCAAAAAGCGGAAAATAATACTGGATTCGTCCGACAAACTTTATTCTCAACTGAGGGATACCAATTTCGCTATCGTTGGACCGCTCCTTAACAAGGTCGCACGACGCCTGAAAGATGATTATGAAAGTAGACATGGAACAAAAAGTACTGCAGAATTGAGAGACTTTGTGAACAAGCTTCCAGGTTACCAAGCCGAGCAGCAAAGTTTGAAAATACATACTGGTTTAGCAGAAGAGATAATGAAACATACTCGTACAGAACAATTCAGCAAATTGCTAGAAGTTCAACAAAATCTGGTCGCCGGTGCCGATCCTTCTTCGCAACACGACGCCATCGAAGAGCTCATTGCTCGTGATGCCCCCCTCCCAGAAGTCTTAAGACTTTTGTGCTTGGAATCATGCATCTCTGGCGGTATCAAACCTCGCGAATTGGAAACGTTCAAGAAAATGATTTTACAGGCGTATGGGTACCAAC